CACTGCAACGTTAGCACAAATACCACAGACACCAAACAACAATTTGTTCATACAACAATCACACACAGCAACAATTTTACACAACCCAATTCCTACGTAACCTGCATCATAATTCTCATTATAGAGTCAGAACCCCACTCTTACCTTGGATTGAAGGTTTCTCTATAATTTTCCGATCGAACCTAGCTTTGCCTCTTTTCCTCTTCTCTGCAACTTCTCACGTACAACACTTTCTCTACTCTTTCTCTTAACCCTTTTTAATTAACCTAATAATATTATCATAACTAAAACTAATAACAATATTATTTTTATTGGGCCTAATTTTTACACCTCCTTAAAACTACGTCTATCACCAAAACAAGCCCAACAACTAATATTATTAATATTCTACAATTCTAATATAATTACTAATATTATTAATCAACTAATTTAACCAGCTAATAACAACACCGCAACTTATGTCAATAACTCACAACATGAATATCTAACATGTCAACGATTTCAATAAATAATTCGAAATTAATCCAAAATATATAATTATTGTCAACGATTTCATTGTTGGGTGGTGTCAGCATAACAAGACGAAGGCTTTCGTTGGTGCGATGGGTAAATGTAGCCTATTGAGCATCAGAGAGTTGCAATTTGAAATGGCTTGTAAAAGTGGCGTTTAACCACAATTGAAGCAGCCAAAAAGGACCAGCAAGTAGATAGTTGGCAGTAGGAGGTAACGAGGTCATATGGTTGACTCCCACACTAAGTGACTCATAGAGAGACCCCAATATGAGTTCGCTCAAGCATATGTTTTAACCAAGATGAAGGTGGTGAGCTAATGCAATGAATCGTTTAGCCACCTTTAAAGATCGACAGCAAAACACATACTTGGAAAGCCATAGAACCAAGAAATATCTCTTTCAAATGGTATGACATCTTCATCAGCTTCAGTGGGAAGAAAAGTTTTACATATAGGGCATAGACCAGTAATGGACACAATGTCGAATAGGGTAGGGGTAAGCATACCAGTGGCGAAATGGAAAGTGTTTATAGATCCTTCCCAAGAATAGAGCGTAAAAATCAGTTTATAATTGCAATAACTAGGGACAACCCTAGAAAGCTGAATCAAGTCAAAAACTCATTGAGCTTTCCAAACATCGCCTTTAAATTTCTCAACTTTATTCAACCATGCAAGGTACTCTTGGTTGACAGCAGGGGAAGAATGGAAAACCTTGGAAGTTCGGTAAAGATGCGAAAAATCCATGACGCAATCTTTGTGAACAGGGGATTTTGCAACATAGTGAATGGGGAAATAATCTTCTAGCTGTTTGGGTGCTTTGATTTCATCAGGAATGGGTCCCAAGAGAGCATAAGAAGTTTTCTTGCATATGAAAGGAAGCAGTACCTGAGAACAAAAAGATTGGATGTTGCGCGTTGGCGTTGGTTCCAAAACGAAAGTATTTTGGAGATGAACAAAAAAAATCATCCATGTTGGAAACCAGTTCAATCTCCCTATGGGTTTAAATGTGTTCACTAATTTGGCTTGAAGTGGCCATGAAGGTGATTGGAAGAGTCTCTGGGTAAAAAGCAGAAGCAAGAGTTTCTCTTTGAGTTTGAAACGGGGAGTTTGAGAATACGAAGAGAGCGTAAAAAGGAAATTGAAGAGATGAAAAGAGTATTTATACCATCAAGAAAATCAAACGTTTGGAAAGGAAGTGGGAAAATTGTGGTTACATGGCAAGCACGTGTCAAGCGGATGGCGATTGATTGGGGAAGTTGTTGAGTTGGGGGCCACGTTTATCCTAGGAAGTTGAAGCTAAAAAGTAGGGAAATGGTTGTTTGTTCGCCGACGTGACGTTTGAGGGAAAAATCATGATTACGATGACGTCATTTTGTACTAAGAAAGAAGGACTAAAATGTCTATTTCTACAGTCTTAATCGAAAAAGGACATTTTGGGGGGCAGTTTGTTGGCTGGGATTTTCAACAAGGACTATAATCCAACCAAGAGGAGAGAATCCAAGAAGGTTCTTTGAAAAGGTAAAATTATCTAAGTCGACTACAGCTCCAGTCGACCAGAAGAGACCCCTTAAGTAGTTAATTGGGACTGGAAACATCAAAAAGCCCAAAGAGTCCAGACAAAGCGAGCGAAGCGATTTGGAGGGAAAATGAGTTTGAATGGAGAACGTGGGTTCATGGAGAGAAGTTATAAAATACATGTGGCATACAAAGAAACGAAGCTCGTCAGAAAGCAACTATTATATGTGTATTATAAATAAAGAACTTAGTGCATAGTGTTAGAGATTCAAACTTTCACATTTCCATACGCTAGTTACCCTGAGTACCCAAATGAACAAGCGAAATGAGTCAAGCTAGGAAAATGTATGTTTGAATCAACTTATTTTCAACTATTTTGATGTTATGTCATTTATGTTTACCGTTTAAAACGTTTTTCATTTTATTTTACAAGTCTTGCTTTATTGCTTATAAACTCGTTTGGTACCAATCGAATGAATCGTTTTTTAAAACACTTTATGAAAACACTTGAAAACTGAAGCATTGTACTGAGATTCCCTGATCGATCTCGCAAGTAAATTTTTGTTAAGAGACCAGTGTTGTTTACCGAAACCAAAGGTAAACAGGTGTGTATCAATCTGACAAGATATGGTTTCTCGGAGACATTTTTTCCACTTTGGAGTGGTCCGTCTAAATATCCTTCCAAATGCATCGTGCGTATTGGATGGCTTTCAAAATCGCTACATTTTGTTGAGATTTATTTGAAACGGGGGTATCATATACCAAATACATCGTTGGAGTGGATGGCACATTCTATAAAAGAGTCGAAAAACTTGGCCAAATCACTTTCTTGAAAGAATGGAAGAGTTCACCAAATTGAGCGAGCTTGAAAGAGAATCAAATAAGGACAAGTCGAAAGAGGCACCAATAGTAGATTTAGGTGGTGATGCATCTTTTGATGCATTTTATATTGCGATTGATATACTTTTTTTGAACGTATTATCATCAATGATGTAATGTTGATACGATTTAATACATAAGTAATATATATTCAGCAATGATAGTGTAAATGTCGATTGTTTCTATTTACAAATTTTATGGTTTACAACTTTTGTTTATGTTTACAAAGTTTTTGTCTGTCTTTGGTTCAGTGATGATTCTAGATATGCATATTTTGATAAATCCCATACTAATTAAAAAACACATCAAGACACTTTTCGGATGCACATATTCGAAAACACCATTTTTTCGGTAAAAAAATAGGATTTATCCATATATGCATCTCCGAAAAGTGCCCTGATAACATAATAAGGTTTCTAAGATCTAAAGTGATCCAAGACTTGTATAAATAGGGTGTCTCTCATTCCATATTTTCTATAAAACACACCACAAACAGAAAATAAATACATATTTTCACATTGCATTTGTGTATTTCAATGGTTAGAAGTCGTCACTTGAATTTAAGGTCACCGAGGACACACCTCTCGCCGCCCTGATATCTAAACTGGATTCTCTCTTGCGTTATCCAAAAAATCAAGAGTTGTCAAGCTCAAGTATTGTTCGCCCTCGTTTGATAGTGAAGGGAAGATATAGTTCACCTACTTCAAACTGAAGACGGATGAAGATTTAGAGGTTATGTAGAATATTTTCATCGTTATGCAACAAATGGTCTGATTGAAGTGGATGTGAAGATTGCAATATTCGTCAAAGATATTATCAATATGTTGCAACGTCCTGAACTAACTGTTTATAACAATGTGTAATGTTAAATTTATCTTAACGATTATCTATGTAATGTTGAGTGCTTTAATTTAATGTCAAGTAGTTGTGGTTATTAGATCTTGATCAAAGTGTCTTTGTTTCTGTTTTGAAGTATCGGAGCTATTTTCATATATTCATCTCCAAAGTATATCAGATACAAGTTCCAAAATGTATCTTCGAACTAGAATTATGTATAATGAGGTTGTTCACTCATTTAGGTTCATTTTTGTATGGAATGATACGTCTAGAAATGCATCTCCGAATCTTAAAAATATTTTTGAATTTTCACCGAGAGTTTGTGAGAAGGTATGTGGAGTGGGAAAAGAATTTCCATAATGTGAAAGATTCATGGAATTAGAACTTAATTTCAAATTGTGAATATTCACTCAAAGAATGCTATAATTTGTAATAAATTGATACCCTTAAAATTATCATATCGTTGAAATTTTACTTGCAAAAAAGACAAATTGGTGAATGCTGCATTGTTTTGCCAAATATAAATTGAAATTTGTGTACAATTGAGTGATGTACTAAAAAGGTTGTTCAACATCTATTCTTTAAATTTTCAACAAGGTTTGACATTCTACTATATTAGGGTGGTTGATGTTTGAAAATATTATGTCAAATACTGCAGTTGATCAAGTTTGCCGATTTAGGAACTTGTGTTTGCGTCAAATTTATAAGATGAGAAACTAAACCCAACAAAAAGTTTTTAATTATGAATTTTTTGTGGAATTGTGTTAAGGTTATTATTGTGGTTATGGCTCAAATACAAAGATAGAAGCTTTGACTGCAAAGTTAATCAATGAACGGATCCTCTTTGGTGCCGGAGCAGTTAGAGGGAGTTATTTATTTTGTTTTGTTAGGTTGTTAAAGCACGAAATTTTGCTTTGGCAATTTGTTTGTGGTGTGCACAAAATTTTGCATAGGCTATTAGTTTGCGGTGTGCGATGTATTTCTTGTGTCTTCCTTTCTCCATAGGGTCTATGTTGCTATTGTACTTTATGTCTAGGTATATGTACAGTTTTACAGTCTACTTACAAATACTCAAGGGTGAATGCAATGACTTCAGTGGAAGTCAATCAAAATAGCGGTACAACCATCATCGAGACTTTGAACATCAAGGTTCAGCAACTTTGTTAATGACCACTGATACATATTTGGCAATGGATGATTCTGGAGACTGCTGAAGTCTTCCAATTACAGGGTACAACCATCATCGAGACTTTGAACATCAAGGTTCAGCAACTTTGTTAATGATCACTGATACGTATTTGGCAATGGATGATTCTGGAGACTGCTGAAGTCTTCCAATTACAGGGAACAAAGGTGATGAACGGATGAACTGTCTGCAGAGTGGATGGGCACACATCTTTGCAAGGGAAAAGAGAGCAATCTTTAAAGGAGACTCGTTTGCTGAATCATTTCTGCTCGGGCTTAGTGCTGATGCCGCATAATCGGAAATTAACTTCAGGAGAGACTGCAAAGGGAAGGGCCATCAAAGATATACATCAAATTGCTTAGAAAAATAGCTGGTAGTATTGGCAATTTGGCAGTATAATAAAGGCCGCAGTTCTACTGAAACTGATAACTTTTTATCATCCCTCATACTCGAGAAAACAGGATAAAATTTGCAAATCCTCTTCATAACTACTGCAACCATTATATTCTAACTATCTAACTATAAAACTTTAGTTACTGCAACTACTCGATAATGCCATTAGTTATTATGTCCGACTAGCATCTGCTATTTTTTCTTCTTACACTTTTTGTTCAGGTATAGTGTGGCTGGCTAGCTGCTGCTAGTAGAGATGGATTCACATCAGCAAGCAGTTAATTTTAAAGACTTATTTTCTTATAGGATAGAATGGGTCATAGTAGGGTAACTGCTAACTTCAAATTAAAATGTGATATGGAATTCATAAAGTTTAAATTCAGGAAATTATTAGAACAATTTTATCATTTGAACACAAGTTTTTTTCATTTTAAAATTATAAAAGTTTTTATGATAACGATTTAATAAAAATTTAAAGTGAATTTGCATAAATTTTAAAGAAAATTTATGTAATCATCTTACATTCTAAAGGAAACTAAAAATATTTAAGTAAAAATCTAAAGTGAATCTGACTATTGTAAAGGAAACTTTTTATTGATTCCTGTGAAAAACAGTTAAGTGTTAACTTATTTAGAAGTGAAAACTGATGAAGTTGCATTTTCACTGTATAAAGAGAATAAATTATTTCAATAAACTGATGCACGTACCTGAACCGCTCCTTTAGACACAATGTCTTCACAAAGTCTGTCAGAGTTGCGAACCAGATTGCTAAGTGCGCCTGCTGCATTTGCCTTGGTCTTATCCTCCTCTGCTTTTTCCAACAAATTTGCCAGATGAGGAATCGACCTCCTCAACTCTTCATACAACACATCATTGTGGTAAGCCGCATTTCCAATCTAAACTCGGGTATGGGACATCAGATTAAAAGACATCAGAAAAATTATAATTACAGCACATACACGATACGATAAAGCATAAGTGTGATGGTATATGTTCTAAAAACAGGGAGGACAAATTATCCATACATCTGTGTAAATTGACAAAAATTCATCCAACACCTTAAGTATGCCAACAGGACATAACGTAGGCTATCATACAGTATAAATTTTGGGCTTTAGAAGGGGATGCTAAAACTTACAGCAAAACAAGCAAACTTCCTTGTTCGTTTGTCTGGATCAGAGCATCGGTCAATAAGGATACTAACGATTTGATATCTTGCCTGCAAATTCCAAATGTATTATAAGTGAATTAAAAATGTGATAGCTGTAAAAAGTTAAGTGTCAGATTTTGGTTTTTCATATTTGATTCAGTGTCTGAATTTTTCTGAGTAATGAGAATGTGTTCACTCATTGAAAAAGGAAAACTTATTTTTCCTTTTAGGTATCGGCTATATTATACTTACAAGAGAACTGTAAAAAAAGGCACTGTGACGGCACATGTTTCCAAGAGCACTGCAAGCTTTGGCACGCACATTCGGATCCTCATGTGAAAGAAAACTTTTTAAGAACTCCAAAACAGAAGCACCTTTAATGTATTCATAGAATCCCTGAACACCAGGAAACAGAAAATAATAATCATTTTGCAACCTATCATCATGGAACATCCAAAAAGCAAATGCATGTGAAACAACCATACTGGTCCAAATAAAAAATAACCCGGACTATGCTATGCATTGTATGCTAGAAACCATAAAATAATGTTTTATCAAATGGTCATTTTGACATTACAAGAAAAAATTCCTTAAGCCAAGCCTTAAAATACTAAATGGATTCATTTTGACCATTGGGAGATAGTTTATTCTAATATAAAAGAGTCTTCCTTTTAATAGGAGATAGTACACAGTCAACTTCTTAAATCAAGGAGTGATATAAGAAATTGAAATAAAACAAAATAGAGCAAATGCTATCAATAATAACAACTAATAAGATATTTCAACAATATATAGGAAATGTATCAAGTAAGAAGAGTTTTAACATGAGTGTAAGATAGTAAATCTGGTCCACACAACCATATACGGACGGTCATGATTTAAAGTTACTTACAGATCACATGACCACTTAAAAAACTCAAATAACTTTTTGTTCTAATCATAATTATTCATGAGTTAATCTATGCCTAAGATTCATTCCCCTAGCTATCTAGCTATCAGTGAGCTCTAATAACAATTCCCTAATACCTTCACCAAATCTCTACGGGAACCTCTGGGATTAATTTTATACATAACAAGTTGGATACATAAGGTGTATATTCTCCAACTTGACGGTGAGTGTTAGTTATAGTCATAGTTAGAATTATTCTCTCTATTTTTATTATCGTTGATACGGTTTCCTTAGTTTCTTATTTTTCCTTTTTGAGAGATTCTCACTAGAAAATACATTTGTTTGTACATCCACATTGTGTAATTCCAGTTTATTATTCTCAACTATTTAACAATATATCCTTTGGGAATTAAATTGATAATGACACAACTGGAGAAATACCAAAATGAGGGTTATCCGATTGTATTGAACACATAAAAACACATCTCAACAAAACTGTACTACTTTCGTTCCTTTGAAACCAATACATTTTGTTGTTTTTTATAATTATTTGCCTATTTCTTGTAATACTCTTCACTTTCAATTATCACAATAATTAATACTACTTTGAAGTTTGAAAATAAAAAGTAAATAAGAACAAAAAACTTCTAAAACATGACACTTAAAAAGGAACGGAGGGAGTACTATGTTCTGCAACAACAACCAAACCTTATCCCACTAAGTGGGTCGGATGTTCTACAACATGTCCACAAATTTATCTCTTTTCTTTAATGTGTATCCACTACCTTTTGTCTCTAAATTGAATAGAAATAATAAAGGCAATAACAGATCAACTTAGCATTCATATAGCGAAACCATTTAGTGAAGTCAATACTAACCTTGTCCATACGAGAAAGATCAGAAATGATCATAAGAGCATCTAGCATAACCTCTTTTGGACCCGAAAGGTCAAACAACCTTTTCATCCTATTGGGATCCAAAAGACCTTTACTCACAAGTTGGACTGCTAAAGGTCGTTGGCACACCATTTTAGCAAGAAAGGCCACAGGCCTACCCATATCATTCAACTCCATATGATCTAGGCATCGAAGGATAATACTAGGCACACCAACCTGAAAACTTCAAGGTAATTGCTTAGGGGCATGGATGTTATAAGATACCATTTCAACAAGTAGTCAAGTGAAAGTAAAAGATAAATAGCAGGCTGCAGAATCAAATATAAATTTCTATAACTAAAAACAACAGATAAAATAATAATAATAAAACTAAAATTTCCATCACAGAAACTAGTAATTGGCGCATTAAATAGTGTACTAGCTGTGATCTTTCAAAAATAGTAACCTACCATCAGCCACTGCGTAATAACATGCAATGGCATATCGGTATCCCGTGAAAAAACAGTATTTGTTTGAAGCCACTTCCAATAATCCAAATAAATTACCAAAGGGGATTGAAAGGGGATTGATTGTAATAGCAGGCTGCAGAATCAAATATAAATTTCTATAACTAAAAACAACAGATAAAATAATAATAATAAAACTAAAATTGCCATCACAGAAACTAGTAATTGGCGCATTAAATAGTGTACTAGCTGTGATCTTTCAAAAATAGTAAAACCTACCATCAGCCACTGCGTAATAACATGCAATGGCATATCGGTATCCCATGAAAAAACAGTATTTGTTTGAAGCCACTTCCAATAATCCAAATAAATTACCAAAGGGGATTGAAAGGGGATTGATTGTACCTCCATAAGGATCTTAATGTATTTTCCCATGTCTTCTTCTATTGCCTTAACTGTATCCTTGTCTTCCATGCATACTCTCTGACCAGGAGAACCAGCATTAAGAAGAAACCCACTGCTAACAGAAGCAGTGGCTGATGGCAAGCCCGGTGCATTTTGAAGAGCAACAAAAGGAAATGCTAAGAGATCTATGACTGCATTTATTAGATCTCGGACTCCTGCTCGCCCTCCACCAGGTCCGGTCCAGAATTTTATCAACTTAAGATGAACATCACATATTAAGTTGGATATGAGCTTAACATGTTCAATCCTAATCAAAATTTGACGAAAAATCAAAACGCCACCAGAGAGACAGTGACATAATGATGAAACTGTGCACACAACACCGATAGGAGACAATCCAACTTTATCATTTAGGCACTCGTTTTCTTGAGAAGCATTTAAAAACCCATTGCTTAATAAGCCGATAAGAAGTAGAGGTATACCACTTGCACACAACTGCTGAACAGCTAATGGTCCTCCCCACTTGAGTTTGGAATCTAAAAGGCCAACACACCCATCTTTTACCCCTAGCCAATATGGGAGCTTCCCATTAAAATTTCCATGGTCCAGTTCATTTTCATTTCCTGATGAAAATTTAAGATGGTCACTTAGTGTAGAACTTCGGGGAATTAAGGGCATAGCAATTTCAGATATCGAAGACTCAACCGAAGTCACAGATTCGAGTGAAAGAATGGATGCCAGAGCCAACATGGCTGATGCACTTTGAAGTTGGAAAGAGGCTTTTGTTTTATCATCATAAGAAACATGATGAGCAAGAACTGAGAGTCGGGCAAGCTGCTTCTTTGGTGAGGTGGTGAGCATAAAAATTGCAGAATTTCTTCCAGTTGATTTCAAACTTTGTGCAATTATTGTGAGAATGGTACATGAATGACGAATCAGAGCAGAAGGATTTGCAAATTTACATTTAGTGTTATTTGGTTCTACACTATCTTTGTTGAGAGAGGAACTGCATATTGACAAAACTGAGAAAATCTCCGAAACAATAGTTCCATCACCACCACCACTTACAACAGTAGTTATAGGAAGGGAACTGGGCAGACCACAAAGGGCGGATGGAACAATTCCACTATGGAGGCAGCACCTTGACAAAAGCTGAAAAAAATTGATATTTATGGAATAAAAAATTTGAATTACTTTCAAATACATCATACTAGAACCTTTATACCAATAACAATTAAGCACTAAAACTTTATTAGAGAAACAATAAAAAATGTTGGAAAGATCTAGTTTCTTAGAATGTGTGAGTTGGGTCAAACTCGACCCAACAAAACCGGCTTGTAGGGTGAGAATTGCCCTCACTTATAAGCACATGTTCAGGACATATATTGTCCGATGTGGGACTCTTAACACCCCCTCTCACGTCCAGGGTAAACGTCTGGAGCGTGGAACTAAATGGTGGGTGGCCTGATAGCGGAGTGGCCCAACGGATCTTAAACTCTAGTGTCGAGGTCAGAAGGAATCCCTAAAACAAGGGCAAGTGCACAAAAGTACCTGAAGACCACAAATCGTTGCAGACTCAATCCGTTGGTGAAAACAATAGTACACTGCAACCTGAACAGCTTTGGATCTCAGGAATGCTCTTGTCATTACATCAACCATTTTTGTTGATTCTTCATCAAACAAGGGATCTTGTCTGTGATCCATAATTTCCGTCCTCTGCAAAAAATAACTCTGCAATGCACTGATGGGAAACAAAATGGCACTATTTCTCATAAAAAGGACATCCAGAGCATTAATCAAAGACCAGGCTGCCCTGCATGCTTCAGAAGCAGCCCGTAGCATATTGGAAGAACCTGCAATAAGACCTGAGCCTGAAGTCGCTAAGCACGAGCACAAATGGTCAATCAAACCAGATGTTTTCGCATGCTCTATAATTCTGTTAGCTGTTTTGTTCAGTGTCTCAGAGCTTGAAATTTGAGATGATCTAATCACCTGAGTAACCTTAGACAACATGACTGTAATGCAGGCACTAGACTCATACAGAACTCTTCCAGATGCATCATTTATAGAAGTTACAACCTGCAATTACACAATAACAAGTTAGTGCTGCAAACATCACAATTAACAAGATTGTTTTCATCAATCTGTTGCCCAAGCTAATGTTTAAGGTATGCTAGGAATTGGTTATGAAGATATGACTACAGAAAAAACTAAACCATGAAGTTTAGATTTACATTGTCACTTCAATATAAATTTTCAACAAGTTGCAAATTTACATGTTAGTAAGAGTATCACCTGAGAATAGATTTCAACCAATTCAACCCAGTGATTTGAATATGAGGTTGAACAGAATTTCCCACCAATATCAAGCAAAATTTTGGTGATCGAGAAACCCTGCCCAAAACAAAATGCCTGAAGTTTAACTAGCTAAAGGTTGCCCATTAATTTCACAAAAACAATCATCATAAAAATAGGACAAAAATGATTAATCAAAGAGCAAGAAATGAGATGCACATACTAAGTTTATGTATGATGTAAATAAAAGTGTTAAGAGAAAACAATGCTAATATAATGTGGGCTCTCTAACAAGTTCGTGTGTAATCTCACTCATCTCTATATCTATGGTGTTGCTTACAATTGTATGATCATCAATAATCAATTTATACAGGTTCATATTACACTCTCTATCTCTGATTTTGCATTGATGGCTCTACCATATTTATAATAATTCGATATTCATGCTGAACAGTCAGGTTCCCTACTCATAACTCATAAGGGACCCCCTTGCAGTATTGCTTGTTCAATGAGATTAGCTTGTAACAAGGACATTGTCACAAGTTCAAGTGTTGAAGCAAAATATCATGTGAGAACTGAGTACTCATTCAGCTCAAACAGTTGCTTCAAAAACTAGATTTGAAGAGGTTACACAACTGAAACTTATTTGTGATGTGGGATAATCAAGTTGTACCACATTTCTTCTTTAATCGAGTGTTCCATGGAAGGGACAATCATCTAATAAAAGAGATTATCTTTTAAGGAGGGATCATCACTCACTTTGATGATTCAAATTAGCAATAAGCATATGCTTATAAGTGAGGGCAATCCTCACCCTAAAAGCCGGTTTTGTAAGGTTGAAGTTGTTAAGAAAAAGAGGAGAGAGATGAAGAAATTTGTTATCGTATTTCATTCACACAAATAACAGTACAAGACATCCCTATATATAAGGGAGATAAAAGGCTAGGCACTAACAAACCCTATGCCAGCTGTACAAAGTAAATTACAGAAAAGGACCCCTATAATAAGCAATATGTATATATCTCTAATAGTCCCCCTTAGAAACTGAGGGTGATTCCAGTAATTGTCTTTTGTTGACAACTCTGAGTTTGTCCCTGAGTTTGTCAGTGCATCTGCCCGCTGATCCTGGGCAGGCACATGAGCCACAGTTAAGCTTTTATTTAGGACTTTCTCTCTCGCAAAAAAGATGTCTAATTCCATGTGCTTAGTTCTGTTATGAAGCACAGGATTGTGAGCTAAAGTTACTGTGCTTAGGTTGTCACAGTGAATTCTAGGAATCTGAAATCTGCATTGAAGTTCATGAAGAAGAGATTGAATCCACAACAATTCTGCAGCCAGTTGAGCCATGCTTCTATACTCTGCCTCAGCACTGGACCTAGCTACCAACTGCTGCTTCCTAGACCACCAGGAAATTAGGTTAGGACCCAAGAAAACACAAGCACCTGATGTGGATCTTCTATCATCTGGGTCTGCTGCCCAGTCAGCATCACAGAAGCCCAGCAGGAATAAAGGCTGATGCTTGGGAGCAGGCTGAATTAACAAGCCATGATTTAGTGTGCCACTGAGATACCTGAGTATTCTTTTAACTGCTTTCCAATGCTCCTCCAAAGGATTTGACAAGAACTGGCACACTTTGTTAACAGAAAAGGACATCTCAGGCCTAGTTAAGGTAGCATACTGCAGGGCACCAACAATAGATATGTACTGTGTAGGATCAGCAACAGTAACAGAACCAAACTTAGTCAATTTGATGCTAGACACCATAGGGGGATAGGCATGCCATTAGGAGTAGCCATGTTAATCTTTGCAAGTAAATAAGTAATATACTTGGTTCGTGAGAGAATAAAGAGATCCATTTGGCATATAGGTGACCTCAATCCCAAGAAAGTAGTCTAGTTGCCCTAGGTCTTTGAGAGCAAAGTGACTATTGAGACTTTTGACTAGGCTGGCAATAAAGGATGGTGAATTTCCAGTGATGATTATATCATCCACATAAACCAGAATCAGAATGGTTAAACTGTCACTGTGGAAGAAGAATAGACTGGGATCACATTTACTTGCCTTGAACCCATGCTGAACCAGAGAACTCTTAAGTTTGTCAAACCAGGCCCTGGGGGCCAGTTTTAGCCCATACATTGCTTTATTCAACTTGCAAACCAATGACCTATCAACTGCTTCAAACCCAGGAGGTTGAATCATGTATACCTCTTCCTCAAGCACACCATTGAGAAAAGCATTATTAACATCAATCTGCTGAATTGACCATTGATTAGTAACTGCAGGTGTGAGCACTGTTCTAACTGTTACAGGTTTGACAACTGGAGAAAGAGTCTCAGTAAAGTCACTGCCAGCCTGCTGATGGAATCCTTTGGCAACCAGTCTTGCCTTGTATCTATTAATGGATCCATCAGGGTTCTCTTTAACCCTAAAGACCCATTTGCAGCCAATGGGCCTTTTAGAATCAGATGGAGACACCAATGTCCATGTCTGATTCTTCAAAAGAGCATGATACTCATCCTGCATAGCTTGAAACCAGTGTGGGATAGTCAAGGCTTGTTTAACAGATGTGGGTTCCATATGAGTGAGAAGAAGTGTAGGATTGAGTCTAGGCTTGACAATACCACTCTCTTAGCTCTAGTTTGCATAGAGTGAACATTTTGAGGATAGTGAAGAGGAGGGATAGAGGCAGGACTAGCAGTAGAATCAGATTGAGGTAAGGAAGAGGGAGAGATAGTACTTGCTTCTGCTAGATCAGAAAAAATAGAATTAGGTAAGGGTGAACTAGGCTGAGGTGAGGATACAGGAGGGGAAACACTGGAAGTAGCAGCAGTAGTAGCTGGAGAGTTAGCAAACTCATGCAGAGAATGTCCAGCAGAGGAAGAGCTAGCAGAAGAAATGGGTAAGGATGGACTGTTTAAAGGAGTAACAGGAGAACTGATATGATTTAAGGGAGGGATATGATGGACAGTAGTGGAGGGAACCAGGACATGGCTGAGGGAGCATTAGAGGAAGTGCTGGAGGAGGAATTAGAAGGAATATGGGAGTTGTAAAAAAGGTTAGAATAGGGAAATCTAGACTCATGAATTATATGGACGAAGAAAGGGGAAGCAAGCACACCCAAACACACGGAGACTAGAATAATCTGGGGACTGATGCAGCAATTTGAAATAGGGAGACTTGTTTTCGAGGGAAGGACTAGGCAGCCTATTGATAAGATAGGCTGTGGTGACGAAGGTATGGTCCCAATATTTAAGAGGCATTTTGGAATGAGCAAGCAATGCTAGACCCGTTTCAACTATGTGATGGTGTTTACGCTCAACTATACCATTCTGGTGGTGAGTATAGGGGCAAGTAAACCTGTGGATGATGCCTAATTCAGTAAGGTGTTTTTGTGAGGGGTTTGAATTCACAACCACCATCACTTTGAACAGTTTTAATTTTGCAATTAAACTGAAGTTCTACCATAGATTTGAAGTGAAGAAATTTGGTGAGAGTGTCAGATTTCAGCCTAAGGGGAAACACCCAGACAAATCTAGAATGTGCATCAACACAGGTGAGAAAATAGGAGTAGCTGCCTGAGGAAAGAGTAGGTGCAGGACCCCATAGGTCACACACAACCAGTTCAAAAGGGTGATAATAGACTGTGTTGGACAGAGATGAGGGGAGTCTGTGAGATTTGCCAAGACAGCAGGCAGAACAGAGATCAAGGGAAGGTTTGTGGGGGATAGGAATATTGCAGGTCTTAAGAACTTCTGTGAGGACATAATGATGAGGGTGGCCAAGTCTTGTATGCCATAGAGCATACTTGCTGGTGGCTATAGGAGAATGACAAAGCATGGCAGGATCTATGTTAGGGATATTAGAGGAAGAGATATTAGCATTAGAATTAAATGCACTGTGAGAATTAGGAGTATTGTTATTTATATAAGAAGCAAAATTACAAGGAAACCAGTTGCAAGTAGCAGCTGTATTACAAGAACTAGGGCTAAGAGACTTGGACAGAGACGAGGCAGGATTGACAAGTCTGTAGAGTCCATCAGCTCCAACAGTGCCACGAAGGAGAACTTCAGAAGAATCCTGCTATTTTACAAGGCAAAATTGAGGATGAAATTCAAAGAAAACGTGATTGTCTTGTGCAAACTTGCTGACACTCATAAGATTCTTGGTCATATGCAGAACAAGCAGAAGGTTATCTAAGATTAGAGATGCATTGGAATGGGTAGACAAAGGAAATTTCATGGATCCTAATGAATTTATAAACAAACCTTGACCATTTCCCATAAACATCTGTTCTGCACTAGACAAGGAGGAAGCATCAAATACATTCGAAGCATCAGGTGTAACATGGTGAGACGCACCTGAATCAGGGTACCACCACTGATTGTTGAAGTTAGGGTCAGATCCTGCTAGAAACGCATGTGGTTGTTGCTGCCTGGGTGGTGTTGGCCGTGGAATAGGAGGATATCCAAAGGATGAATGGAACGAGGGACGTGGAGCCATTGTGTTAGGATTGAAGGGAGCTCGTGGAGTAAGTGTAACGATGATAGCACACAGAGGCATCATGTCCAGGTTTGTGGCAAATCTGACATGAAACCTTGCCAAAACGGCCACCACCGCGACCATAACGACCACCGCCACGGCCATATCTACCTCCACGAGAGCTAGTGCTATGATTTTCAGCAGTGGCAGTCACATGACTGGTACCAGTGGGAAATTCAGAGTTGGAATCAGAACCTGAGTGCTTAGTCGAGTGCGACACTGAAGACGGTGGAGCTTGAGCCATATTGACAGATACTGGTTCAGTAATCACAGCCTTGCGATGCTTCTGAAGTCGCGATTCATGCGCAAGGAGACTGGACTCAAGTTCATCAAGAGAGCACAGATCGTCTTTGCTGTTAATCGCAACAACAATAGGATTGTAATCCTCAGGAAGTGCATCGAGAACTACCTCAATGAGATTACGAAGAGGAATTGGATCTCCGATTGACACCAACGCCTCGCTGATGTCACGAACGTGAACCACGAACTCAGCAATGGAACGCGAACCTTTCTTCAGGTTGCGAAGATCAGATCGCAACTGTCGCGCCTTGGTGGTGAGCAAAGTATTGAAGTAACGGTGAATTTCTGACCATACTTGCCACGAATATGTGCAGTCGACGAGTTTCGGAAGAAGAGAATCGGAAATTGTGGAGAGTAGTCAGCTGCAGATAAGTGCATCTGCTATTCCCACTCCAGATAATCTGGATTTGCACCGCCGGTGACTGGATCGGCGTCGGGAAGAAGACGTTGTGGAACGCACGGTACATTGACGAACCGTTGAAGACAATGACCACGAATAACGCCTTCGATTTGCTGTTTCCATTGTTTGAAATTCTTCTCATCTAATTTGACGGAGATGAGATGTGAGAGTTTCACATGAGATCAAGAAAAAGCACTGTCAGTGCTGAAAGGCGATGCCATGGAAGCGCTTAGATCGAAGAAAAAAAAGAGCTCAAGATACCATGTTAAGAAAAAGAGAAGAGAGAGATGAAGAAATTTGTTATCGTATTTCATTCACACAAATAACAGTACAAGGCATCCCTATATATAAGGGAGATAAAAGGCTAGGCACTAAAAAATCCTATGTCAGCTGTACAAAGTAAATTACAGAAAAGGACCCCTATAATAATAAGCAATGTGTATATATCTCTAATAGAGGTAAGACTAACCACAATTCTTAACATGGTATCAAGGTTTTGGTTTAAGATCAAGTGGATCATCTGCTTGCTATCAGATTTACGCTATCAAGTCATCCATCATTTATTTTCATGCTCTAGATGCTCAGTCCTAGGCGTGAAGGGGTGTGTTAAGAGTCTCACATCAGATAATATATGGTCTGAATATATGTTTATAAGTGGAGGCAATTCTCACCCTACAAGTCAGTTTTGTAAGATTGAGTTAGACTCAACCAAAATTCTTAACATATATCATAAACCAGATATCTTTCAAGACATTGTTAAAGACTATGAGATACTTTAACACATCAAATGAAGATCCAAGCATTTTAAATTCATCATAGATAAATAAGAGGAAAAGAATAAAACTCTTGAAGGAAGAAATCAATAGATCAAATGTGTAAGTGATGTACCTTTGTTAACAGGTCAAAAACTTCAGCAGACTTCATTGCTACAACAGATCTGGTAAACAAAAGAAGCTCACTTATGAGTTCGTCTATTTGCCCATTAGAACTGAAGACACCGGCATCAACTAGATTTGAGAGAATTCTTAATGACTGGTTTGAAGCAGGAAGATCTTGATCACTGTAGATTAAAAAATAAAGACTTCAGAGATGAATAATTTTGAAACAAAAACTAAAAACTTACTAGGGCGTTGAAGTCAAAAGAAGGTTCCCTATAAGATAATCAACAAAATCTCAATAAATGAAAATATTAAATAATGTTGATTAAGCTCAAGACATTAAAATCAATTCAATTTCAAGTGGAATTCATGAGGACTTCAAATGCAAAATCAAAAAGTTTTTAAGTCTGCGGCACAAACATACCTGCAAATATTTTGAGATCCCTTCGACCATCTTTTCAGGGGTTGCAGAACAAATTCAAATGCTTCATTGTCTTGACCAATTACTTTTGCACCTTTGACAGTGCGAGAGTTACTTTCAAGTTTGTCCAGTCTTTGGCAACCTGCTCAGAAGCATTCACAATCTCATCAATCCAGGTGTTTATGTAAGATAAAGAGTATAGTAATAATGTGTAATATATATAATATTGGCCTTTTTGTGTTTAGCCTGGGTTGCTCTGTTTGATGCAACATCTGGTTCACAGCTGAGATTAATTGTCATTTCATTAGAAAACAGATGCAGCACTGACTCATTCTACCCATTCATGAAGAATGGAAAGCCGCTGCTATATTTTTTTAAAGTTTCACTCATAATCAAGGTGAATATATTTCCAAGTTAAGAATGGTCAACACCGATGCTCTGGCTTGAGAAAAGTCTTAGAAATTAGAATACATGAGTTTGTCCAGATACGTTAGAATTAGTTAAAGCTAAGGGCATGCATGAGTATGTACAAAATATCGGATAATAGAAAAACCAGTTAAATATCTTCACCCAACAGCTAGATTTTGTGATATGTGATTAATGAAATGGTATCAAAGTCATTCCTAAACCTTATAACTACTGCCTACAGCCTTTCATAAAGGTAATCATACTACACATAATCCTCATTTAATTTATAACTTCCTAAGCTGTCACTGTTTATCCCCATCCCACTGTCACTGTTTATCCCCATCCCAGTATCAGTGTACTACAACAACAACAACAACTACTAAGCCTTATCTCACTAGGTGGGGTCAGCTAAAATGAAAAACCACTTTAAAGTTAAAAGTATTTCACCTTAAAAATAAACTGCAAAGAGACAATAAGTGAATCTCTCATAAGTATTTGGAGTGAAAATATTTCAAATTTTAAATTTAATTTGAATTTAACAGCCGATACACAGAAATATGTAAAAAGGGATGTGGGGCGAAGCATATGGTTGCCGGGTTGGTTAAATGCTATTAATGAGAATAGTAATTCTCTATTCTTAACAATAGGGCCTGGAGACTTCTTGGTTCATCATGCTATTGCTCTTGGTTTACATACAACTACATTGATCTTAGTAAAAGGTGCTTTAGATGCACGTGGTTCCAAGTTAATGCCGGATAAAAAGGGTTATAAGTCTTCTAACAAGTTACAACACCAAAGAAATATTTGCATACAAATAAGCGGGCATGAAATAAAAGAAAGACGAGAATACCTGACTCTGCTACATCATTTTGATTCGAAAAGCCAGGAGACTCATCAAGCACCTTAGAATTGGTTTTGTTCATGTTAGGACCATTTAACTGAGCTTCATTCTGAAGGGGTGAAGAAATATGCTCCGCCGAACCTGCTTTGTGATTGTTTTTTCCTGTGACAAAGGTAGATTATCATATGGAGGGAAAGAGGAAAAATGTAGAGACATCTAATAGACAATTTATTGATGCATAATAGTAGAGTATGAAGTATCGTCCTACAATACTAAAAGTTGCTGAACCTGTTGAAGTTTGAATGGTTTTTCTTTCAACCCTCTGTGTTGTATCACTGTCCTTTGGCGAACCACTTATCTCACGCAGTTCCTGAAAAAGTTCCATCCATAGTTTACTAATTTAACTAACTGCGATTACTCAACTGTGTTACAATTCCAATGAACATCTTGCCCAATGTTGAATTGTTTGGTATAAAGTGTAGTATACCTACCCTGTCCTGAATTTCGTTGTTAGTTTCTTTAACAAATGGGTGTTCAAGAAGAGCAGGCCAAGTTAGTCGACTTTCCGGTGCCTGCGTAGAATAAATTAAGAAACGAAAGTGTATGAATTCATTGTGGTTAAATCTCAGAAAGTAGAAATGAAAGGGAAATGTGCAGTAGTGAACAACCTTGTTAAGTAAACCCTTTAAAAAGCTTTTGAAGTTTGGAGTCATGCTATCGGGATATTTAACCGGGTCCTGGATCATTCAATTAGTGATCAGTACATCCTTCAGTATAATAACACAAGTGATTGTACAACAAACCTTGTCTGATTGAAAAATGTACCTTAACAATGTGTCTGATGAGAGCATAAACAGAATTTGTGTAAAATGGTGGTTGGCCTACAAATAACTCATACCTGTTATAGGCATAAAAAAACAGGCTTCAACTCATGTGATTAACAAAGATCATTGAGAGTGCAAAAGCCCTGTTCAAACAACAGTTGCTACATAACTAATAGGTAATGTCATCATTCAGAACACTTTTTTTGCATATTGCAACAGGTCTGGTCCATCACTAAAAATAGGAAAGGCAGAGCTTGAGTACCACAAGCATGAAGTTGAGTAAAGAATCTGATGTTAGGAAGAATAAGGATAATACAAATAGAAAGTAACATAAATAAAAATTCGGGTTTATTGGGTATATGAGAAAATGAACGACCAGCTTAAATCATGTAAAGGCATCTGATATCAAGACACTAGTAGGCTTTATTTACATCGACAACTACTATCCACGAATGCATTACTGAATACCAGTAAATGTGTTATTAGATGCAGATAAAAATAGATAGAGATATTCAACATACAATATAACACCAAGAGACCATAAATCTACTGTGTGGTTGTAAGGTTGTTCCCGGACAAGTTCTGGAGCCATGTATAATGGAGTGCCTGAAAAGCATAAAATAAATTCCGTTCCTCAGAATACAAGCTACACACAAGCTACCTACAATTGAGATTAAAAGCCAACAAATTGTGTTCTGATGAGCCCAACCTTTTATAGATCGCAAAACAACTGTGTTTGTGGACATCGCACGTGCAAACCCAAAATCACAAAGCTATTGGAAATTCAGAAAACATATATAAATTAGAGCATCATCAACCCTATTTAAAGAAAACTACAAATGAACATGATGAGTATTTGAATTAACTTAGTGATAAAAATAAAAATAAAAACTTGTCTTTTAGGGGGTATTTCAAAGATCAAGGGATGTATATTATATTCAATACCACCATTTCTTGAAATAACTTTTTTGGCGTAAACAATGATGGGATTCTTATTCCTAGGTGTTTTTCAAAAAAAAAAGTGTTTGGATAACACTTTCTACATTACTCAGAATTATTTGCAAAAGTGGGGTAATAGAGGTTGCTACACAAATTTCATTCCCCATGGTAATCTTTTTTCTCAACCCCTTCCTTGAGAACAAAACCATAGGAAAGTAGTAGTTACTTCTCTCATGAGAATCGTTCATACTCAGGAATGCAATTTTGCAGCTTTGTAGTAAACATGGGAATACACATTTCGTACACATATATTCCTGAAAACATAGTCAGGATACTTGAAACAAACATTCTGGTTTAACCTTCTTAGAGAGCTTTCGGAGACAAATATAATTTCACTTAAAAAGATGACAAAACATGTATGCATTTCCCCCATGGAGGAAGTGTGCTTACAGGAAAATTATGTTAGATTATTCAAAAAATAAACAAGTCTTAACTCGGTGTGTAATATAAATCGTAACAATAACAACAGTGTGACGAATTTCTACTGCAACAAGCAAAAAAAAATGTTTGATGCATGTTTCTTCAAGTGAACAAAGAGTTAAATCAACCTTGACAATAGATCCAGAACCAATGAGGATGTTTTGGGGCTTCATATCACGATGGATGATCCGGTTGGAATGCAAATAATGTAAGGCTCTTACCTGCATAATCCAAACCAAAAGGATAAGACATTTATCCTTGTAATTCTTCCCCTAAATTTTGTTAGGACAAATCGTTTAGAACAAAAAATACCAATTGCTTTGCAATTGCTTGAACTTGTTCTTCGGGAAGGCATTTGTCATCCTCAAGAATCTCAAATAGCTCACCCTGATAAATATAAACTATCATCAGCATGTCTCATGATTCAAACTTCCTTGTTCCACTATCAGCTGGTTGTGCTTACTTTTAAACCAACGATTAACGGATAAGTGGTGGTAACTTTCATAGATTTAGAGTACTACAAATCCAAAATCAGTGAAACAATAAGCTGAAAAATGGCAGAAAATATAGATGGTTTACTTGTGCGAATTCTGTGACAACACAAAACTCTTGCGGGCTTTCAAAAGAATCAAGCATTTGAATAATATTTTCATGCTTCAACTTCCTTAATATCTGCAAAATTCATGAATATCAAATGCCAACCAGTTACCACAGCCATTTATAAGTCGTAATTAGAAACCCTAACTATTACCGAAGCTTTTCCAATAAGAAATCACACAAAAAAATTGTTAACGCGTATGAGTCGATAGCAAAGAGAAAACGAAGAACGAAAGAGTAATAGTTAAAACGAGAACAAAATTAACGAATGAATAAAGGAATTACCTCAATTTCTTGTCTCAAATTGTGAATGTCCTTTTCAGTTTTACCGTGCTTCATTATGAACTTCATGGCAACAGTCTAAAAGGAAAAGGATTGAAAATGAGAAGTTAGAAAATGGAAGGAAGTGGAAATGGTTGGTTTTAGGGATTAGGAGTAACCTGTCCAGTGTGCTTGCGTCTCCCTTTGTAGACTTTGCCGAAGGAACCTTCTCCGACGAGCTCGATCACGTGGTAGTTCTCCACCGAACCCATTGTTGAATCGGAAGAAAGTGGAGCTCAGAGAGAAAGAGAGAGGGATTTCAAAATGGAATGCCGTTGAATGATGGTGAAGGAGAGAGAAGAATCGGGGATCACAAACTTTGAATTTCTATTCCCGCTCCACTCAACCCTTTTCCGTTATTATTTTTTATTTTTATCTATCATCTATAGATATATAGATATATAATATATAAAAGACGGACATTATTAGCCCTTGCTTTTTTTTGTCATCTCATATTTTTGTGATAGTTTTAAGTCCAACTTTTATTTTTATAAACTAAATTTGGAAAAACTAACTTGTCACCTGCATTGTATCTACAAGTAGTATAAAAAAACTATATCGTTCATATTTAAATTATTCACCACAAATTTTAAATTTACGTGATCAATTGGATTTATTAAATTTTTAGGCGATATCAAAAATCTCGTGAACAAGTAAGAATTTACGGTAGATTTATGAAATTTCTGGTATTTTGTACTGGAAATTTCAAAATATCTGGTATTTTTATTTACCATTTATACTGAAAATTTTGAAATTTCCGATACATCACAAAATACCGACAATTTTGAAATTTCCGGTAGTTCAACTTTTTTTTGAAAAATACCGAAAATTTAGAAATTCCCGGCAGTTTATATTTTCCTAATATTTTCTTATTTTGCAGTGAGGACCAGAGGCAGAGATGGTTCTATTGCGGGACGGATCATTGAAAGAGTTGATGCTGAAGTACGGCTTGACGAGGCACAAACTTTAGAGCTACGGGTTGGACGTCGTCCTCCGACCGGTTCTCACCAGAAACGGATGCCTGAGCAGCAGCCATAGTTCTGCGCACCCTGTCGTCAGGGTGTTAGAGTATCCAATATTGAGGAGGTACAGGCTCCTACAAAGGAGGTACGGGCTCCTACTGAGGAGGTACAAGCTCCTATTTAGGACGTACAGGCTTTTGTTCCTATTGTGGAGCCGGTAGTTGATGAGCATATTGTGGAGCCTATGGTGCAGGAGGCTGAGCAGTAGGTTATTATTGAGTGAGTTGATGAAGTGTCCCCCGCTGATACATACATCACGACTCGTGCGTCTACGGAGTCATCAGTACACACTAATGGAGGTTTCCTTGGAAGACCTTCAAACAGGTCCGTGCTGACAGGATTTGCGGACCATGTCGCTTATAGGATTATAGCGGTAGAAATGTTGAGACTAAGTCATTGGATTGACTTAACTCGCACAGATCAAATAAAAATTACAACTGTGCTTTATTATTTCCAGAGGAATAGGAAAAGAGCGAATAAACCTAAAAAGAGGGGGAGAGAATCTAGGTACGGGGGTTGGTTATGCAAAGGGAAGGTATTAGCACTCTAAACATTTACGGTACTCCGCGGGAACCTCTTTGAAAATTTGTGTATTTTGATTATATGTGTTGTATACAAAAATAGATGGTGGAGATGAGAGAAGAAGTTTTTTTTTTTACAATTTTGCACCCGCTGCGATTGCGAATATTTAGTGCTTACGTACCATCTTTTGTGCAATAGAAGATCAAGGTACTCGTAGTTCACCTTAAAAAAATTTAAAACACATGTGTGTTGGTTAATTTTAAGAGAATAGACATCATCGTCATATCTGAGTGGAAAACATACTTACTACCTGATCGTACCTGACCAGAATGGATCGTCAAGGTCTAGGATCTATGAGTTGAACAGCAGTTGTAGATGAGGTGGGGGTACTTGCAAGACACTCTGATGCCAAAGTAAGGTTCAGAATGATGCAAGCAAGTGTAAGTGAATGGGATAGAATGATTCAATACCTGACTCTCTCAAGTGAGGGGGTATTTATAGCCCCTAGCATTGGACCAATGTCTCCAATATTAGGCCACAATGAGGTCCATCAATAAAGACTGCCAGGGCTTACGTGTGTATGGAGTCCAACACGTGGACTCCCCCCTGGTCAACTATTCCGAGAGAGCAGGTGCTAGACCCGTGATTCCCGGAGGGCAGTTATGATGACGATGATGCGGACATGTGGGTCACGTTCCCCAACGAACACGTATGGAGTTGCCCAACGATCCCTAACTTGGGTTGTTTGTCTTTAGGCCTTATGTAAGGGTGTTGGATTGGGCCTCCCCAATGATGGGGCAAGCGCTGGCCCAGTCCAAATCAGGGTCCCCCCAAGTTATTTCCCTTAGGTGAAAGGGTGGTGACTTAAGTTCAGCTTTACGGTCGGGGAGAATTTGCTCGAGAAGGGAGATTGTAACTGTTCTGGATTGGGCATGCCCTTAGTCCAAATCACAAGTAAGGCCCAGATCCAAGTCGTGTCTCAAGCTATGCTGGGAGCCAGACTCCCCGAGCATACCCAGTCACGGGCACTTACGACTATGCCCGCCGCTGCCCGCAACAAGCAGTGTCCCCGACACAGACATCCTAACTCGAGCCCTGCTCGAGCATCCTCCCCGTAGGGCAGACTCAGTCCCTCCGGATGCTTCAGAGTCTTTAGAGCTCCGGGAAGATCGCGTCTTCGTTCTTCCTTGTTCTTCGCGGAGCATCATCCAGGAAGGGGACCACGTGCAGGTCCCCACTACTCACGTAGAACCTGGCAGTCCCTTTGTTGGGCCAATTTTGGTCAGCCCAATAAAGGGACTTTGGCCCAGCGCTGGGGGCTATAAATATCCTCTGTTCCAAGAGGGCTAGGTATTCATTCTCTAAGACACTTATATACAATTTTCCTGCTCATTTTGTTGCTTACTTTATCATCGGAGTGCCTTGCAGGTACCCCCTGTGACACCCCAAATAATCTGATTATTAAATAATTAGAATTTTTAATTATTAATTTAATTATTGGTATTTTTGGATTATTGGAATTAATTTAATTAATTAAAGGAAAGAAGTATTGGTGGTGTGAAGAGTGATTAGAGGGTGTGAGAGGTAAAATACTCTACTCTTACTAATTACTAATTTAATTATTTTATTGGAATAATAAAAGGAGTATTAAAAGGAAAAAGAAGAGAAAGAGAGTTATTTTTTAATATTCATCATACGTGCATTTGAGAAGAGGAAAAAGAAGGAGAAACCGGAAGCGTCAGAATTCGAAGAACTCACAAGGTAAGGGGTGATTTCGATTAGTTAATTCGTATTATCGGTTTAGATATTTAATAGTATGGATCATAGTATGTTAGGGAATCCCGGTTTAGAATTCTAGGGTTCCGTAGAATTGTCCCTATTGCGTTGAATTGTAGGTTGAAAACCATTAGGGTGTCAGATGATAAAAAGGAATGGTGAAATAATGTTGTTTGATGTTATAATGGTGCAAAATGGATGTGTTTTGGTGTTTCTCATGTTGCAATTCGTATGAGTATGTTTGTAATTGGTTTAGAATGAATAAATGCTGTCAAAAGTGCAGAATTTGACTTTGCAGGTCGTGGGAACCGGTTCCCAGTGGGGAGGAACCGGGTTCCACTGTGTGAATTTATAAAAACTGGCAAAAATGCACGTAGGAACCGGTTCTTGTATAGGTAGGAACCGGGTTCCCATACATTTTTCCAGAAGCGTGATTTTTGAACTTCGCAGGAACCGGTTCCTGCATATGTAGGAACCGGGTTCTGCTGTAACTTTTTGAAAAATATTAAACTTTGAAAATTCATAACTTTCAAACCGTAAGTCCGTTTTGGGTGCCGTTTTGGACGTTATTTCTTAAATTTAATGCTCTATTTTATAAAATGAAAAGATTTCTTAAAACCTGAAATTATTTTGAAAACGAGTCAAATCCCGGAATAAGTGATTATTGGCTAACTGATCAGTGCATTTTGATGCACATCTTTCCACGATTGTACTAATGCATTTCTTTAGTTTATTGTGTTTATTTTTATGTTTTAAATTGTTTTGCTAATTTATCTTATTTTTGCATTTAATTAATTTTCGTATTTTATTTTTCAGCATGTGCAGCTTTTAATAAAAAATTCATAACTGGAGCTACAGGACTCGGATTGAGGCGTTCTAATATTGGTTGGAAAGCTAAGAAAAAGACCTACAACTTTCATGAAGAAGTCGAGAGCCAATTCGGACTGTAGCAAGGTTGAAAAAATTGTTGAAGTTGCAGCACTAGTTTTAGTTAAGTTTCGGGTCAATTAGTTTTGGGCCTGGGTCGTTTGTTTGACCCAGTTGGGTTGTAAAATGGGTCGCTCTCTTTCCCCTTAGGGTAGCAGCCGTGGTACTGTAGCATTCCATTCGAATTCACTGTTCACGAAATTCCATTCACGATTTGGAAAAGCTAGGACGAATGACTATGGAGAACTAATTCCTTTGGGTTGATCTACTGTAATTCAGGTTCCAATACTTGAGATTATTATAATGTTAATTTAAGTTTAATTCCTTTCAATGATATTTTGTGTTATTGTATGCTTAATTCGATTGCATAAAATATATTGATTCAATTTGGTTGATTGTATGATCCTAACATAGACTCATCACGTTTGCTTAATCCGTTGTTGTGTCTGATCAGTCATGTTTGCTTAATCCATGAAAACTTATCCCGTTTGCTTAATTCGGACAACAGGATCGTACATCTCACAAACTTCATCGCGCTTGTTATTGAGTTTGTACCCAAATAGGAATAAACAATCCGCTTCGGGTATTAGAATTATAATAATCGATGATAGTAGGAACCCAAAACAGTAGATCGACTTATTCTATAATCACTTATTTCCAAACAGCTTATTTTATAATCACTTTTTATAATTAGCTTATTTGCCTAAACTCGAACCAAACAACCCCCCAATTTCGATTTTAGTTAGTAAAACCCAAGAGTCCTTGAGAGACGATACTCGAGTTACCGTTACCGTCGTTACTACAATTTGCAATTTAACTCGTTTTTGACCCGCGCGCGACAGCGGATCAAATTGGCGCCGTTGCCGGGGATTCTTGATTTTATTAACCAATTTTAGAGTCATAGGTTTAGTGTTTTCGTGCCTAGGTTCTAGATTTCCTTCGGTTTAAGCCAATTCGCGTTTTTT